GTTGCATGTTTAACTGGCGTTTTCAGTCCGTTGTCATGGCAAAGGTCTAGTAAAATTGTCTAGCAAGATAATAGATAGAAGAAAGATAGCGCAACGTCGTTCTGAAGTGCAACGAAAAACACCTACATGTTTCTATACCATTTCAACTTCAGGTGAAAACGTTATAACTTCAAGTAAATCCTTCAAAACCTTTAGTTAATTCCACTAATCGCATTTCACTCGTAGCCCCACAAAATGATTAGTGATCCAGTCATCTAAACCCCCGACCAAAGGTACAAAAGAATTTTTTGAGTGAGTTCCCAAGTGAGGATGAAGGTTCCAATAGGGTGGGGTTTAACTGTTCGTCCCCAACCTCCTACCGGGAACTTTCGGTCCTTGACTGTTATTCGAGTGAGCTGTAGATAAGGATAAACGACCCCGGAGGTTATTGGCCTCGGTTGATCGGGTAAGGAACCGAGTTACCTCAAGATGTTTCTTTGTCAATGATGGTATGAATCGTTGCATGAACGGGTTCGGTCTAAACCTTCGATAACTGAGTAATTGGCTTACATTGAGATCGAGGTTCATCGTCTCTCCTGAATCGAATGCAGTCATCCATACACGTTTGGTATTGAAAGACGCAGTTGACAAAATGGTTAAGAATGGCCATCGAACACATAGCCGCGATTATTGCAAGTCGAGTGTCGAGTTCTAGCTCTCAACGTGATTGTTCATCGTTCAAGCCCAAGCAGGAACACGAAAATAGCACACACTACTGGCAAATCCCAATAAAACGACATAACTGTTCAGTAATACTAGTCAACCCAGACATATGGGATCTCATCGAGAACATAGGATTATTTTGTTTATCGTTAGACGACGAAAGCTGGGTTTGGGGTAATATGCAGAACTTTTTGTTTACCTGACTCCACTTTGGTGCGGCTTTCAATCTTTATAAGTGGAACCAGTGGATCGAAATGCTACATCAAATATGTCGAGGCATGTTCACGCCTCGTTACTCTTTCGTTTGCCTGGTTTCACATCACAGACAAGAAGCAGTATTCCTGCTACTTGTCTTGACATTAATAACACTTTCGCATGAAAGCACGAAGAAGTATCAGGATCACACGATGAGTTGAATTAAATTAAATTTCGTGCTAATCACATCACGTGTGCACACGCAATCAGATCAAGTGCCAGTTTTGAGAATCATCGAATATACACGGGGAATAGAAGTCCGTCGAGCTCAATCACTCTTCATATACTAAATTGAGAGGAATGAGAAAGCCCAAAGCCCACCTTTCGTGCCTTAATTTTCCCCAAGGAAATAACGTTTACGAGAGTTTGCCGAGGGAGCAGCAACCTGTGCAAACAGATCGAATTCGTGGGTGACTTCGCGCTGCCGTGGTGAGTGTAACTGACCAGGCCGCCATCAAGTGCAAATGCTACCCAACCCTGAGCTCAATCCGGTTGGGGTACTGTCACCTTCATCCTTTCATACTGCTTGATTTATCTTACCTGTACGTATTCCCTTGTTCCCAAACCGATCACTCTTTTACCTCAGCGTAATTGGAATGTACGTACACAGCTAGCATGGTTACCACGACATTGTTCATTTCATCACAAGATACTTCTCCATGCTGTCCCATGAATGAAGAGGGAAACTGTTTGCATGAAATAACACCTCTGATTGAAGCTTTTCACTAAATATCTTAGATGATGACAGTATTCAGTCATATTTGACCAGGTGTTAGCATGATTCCTTCCCCGATCATCAATGAAACCCGTGCTGTTTTAACGGTACACAACGTAGGGGAAAAATATATTTTAATCACGAAACTCGCTGGATCATTTATCGCCTTAAATTAGATACCAACATTTGCCTCTTTTTCCCTCTAGGTATGATTAACTCACTTAAATTTAGGCAGTGGTTCGGCCGGGTACTCTGAACCCGGTCCGTCTGCAATAAAGCAGGCCAAGCGGTACACCATTTGACATCCAGGCCAATTTCCATCAGGCTGATCGTGTTGTAGCTCAGCGCTCTCAGTTCGACTATCGCCGGAGTTATGAACTGGCTTCCGGGGGAAAACCCGCAATAGTTCACTCAACGCGCCACGATATTCCACGCTATCTTCACCGAGGCTGTCCGCATCGACCGGAACGAAAGGCTCGTCTTTTTCTTCTTTAGTTGTGACCAGCTCAGTTGATTTACCCGATTTCTTACTCAAAGTGCCGGTGGATTTAATCTCCGCGTTGATTTTGTCTCTCTATCAGGATGCAACAAAGCGCATTTAGCTGTGAATCACTAGAAGAGTATCCATTGTGATGACTACAATCATTTGGGACCAATCAACTCCTGACGTTGATTTATCTCATTGGCTATAGTCACCGTTAACAAACGTGCAGTAAAGAGAGTGTGTGGTTTAAACATATCAAACATGAGTTGGAGGTGAAACTGTTTTCAGCGACTCCATTTTAAAGCCAACGTATTCAAATTCGTATAATTGCAAAATAATGAGAGAGAAATGGAGAGTTTTCAGGTCGTCACTTGGCTGAGTAACATTTAAAACGAAGATAGGTGGATGAGTCACATTCATTGGCCAAAGATCATACAGGATGATTGAATAACATAATGATAGATAATAAGCTGACTTCACTGTTGCACGCATTGGTAACATTCGCTTCTCGATCAAAGGAACATTAAGTGTTTCAATCGATCCTCTATATGTGCAAATATCATGTTTTCGGATGATAATTACCTCAGTAGTTCCTAGTGTCCGAGGTCCAATTGCCTTGGGCACATTTGGATGGACAAATTTTAAGACCCAGGAAATGATGATTAAATGCCTGGTTTCCAACCAGTGTGCACTAATAAAGCCATAGAGATCGCTGCATTTTCTCTTTGCATAAGCCAATGGTAGTGTTATTCTTCGAAGTTTTCGTTGAACTGCCCTGCTGTGCACTTAAGGAGTTAGGCGTTCATAGATGTGGTCAAACAAAGATAGTTCGTCTTTGTTTTGACATTCAATTGTTAAAGAAATGGAGAACAAACCTATTCCTCTTGTGGTATTGAGGGCTAATTTCATAGTGGCACTTAACACTTTGATGACTCTCTCAACTACGAAATAGCTTTTGACAGGGAGTCTGATGAAGAGCGTCTGCTATACCACCTGTGGTGGTTTATTTTCGGTTTGATCCTTTCGGTTCAGTTTTATTGGGTAATATCTTTGCAATTTTCGTTACTTAATAAAGTTTCTCTTATGAGTAACTCCCCAGCCTCCAAATTATTTACTATACAAATTAGTATAGTCTCCTTCCACTTTGCTTTGACATAAATGTGACCAGATCATACGATAGTATCATTTATTTATCTGAGAATGAAATCACCAAAATCACATATTCAATAAGTACTTGAGTTTTCCCAAATGTACTGGAGTTTGAATTCAAACACTGCTTAGCATTGAGTTCCGTGGGCTCAGTATACTACAGGTGCTTATACTTTGACCGTCACAGAGGTATAGGAAATGACTGCCAAATACATACTCAGCAATAGATACAATAATGCTGGATATCAGTGAATTACTTAGGTATCGAAGGGATGGTATTGATCCGATCTAATCACAGATTTGTTTAACCAAGCCGTATTCAATAGCCCACGGGATCACACTACCATAGAGAACAATAGACCGGATACGGATAAAGAATGAAACGTGTTTTATTTCAAAATTGCCTACGAGAATCTGTGGTGGTGCTGGTGGCGCGTCTTACCCTGGCTCCACTTTTGGTTGGTTTCACGTCCACAGGTTCAACCGGGGCAGCACATGCAGCAGCCTCGGCGAGTGCGCGAATCCTTCGCTCGTTGTACATTAGAGCTGCCTCGTTTTGGACCATTTTCTTGTGAAACGATGGTCGAAAACAAATGGTCACCCGATTTTTCTATGCAATGAAATAGATGATATATTATTACTTCGGTGTTTACGGGTTTGCCTGAGGACTAATGGCATGAAATGTTAACGGTTGATAAACATCAATATGAAGTCCTGTTTTTTAACCCCTTATGTTCCAGTAAGATGTTCGAAGAAATGATGTAACTTATGCCCTTTCTCCATAGAACAAACTCCTTCTGAAACTACCGAAGTTGTATATTTTGTGGGTGTGCGTTGGCTCTCAGAAAAACAGCAGAAAACACTTTGTCAGGACACATGCCTACACTACCGATTAGTGACTTAGAAACAGGAGATGAAAAAGATTAATTGGTAAGTTATGCTATTACGAAAGAATTCATTGCTAAGTAATTTCAGTATTCCAATCCTCTCTCTGCTCCCTGATCCAAATGTGTAGCCAAAAGACAGCATCCAAAAACGGCATGAAATTACATGGATAAACGTTGTATGAACATAAATGAGCTGATTCCTAAGCTGTTGTCGCTGGTATGCATCTGTGGTAAAGGAGTTTTGCGCTGTATTTCATACACTGAGAAATTTCCAGTTAATTTTGATCGCTCAGGGATGCACTGAAGTGGATTCTGTGCTTTGGAGAAAATGCTTTGTAGATGGTGCGTCGTAATTTTGTGATGTGTGTATGTGAAAATATGTGGGGCGTGTATCATATAAGTGAATGGGAAAGGGAAAAGGATGATTCTCCTTAAATATATCTTTGATAAAGTGCTTGAAATGGATCAGTTTTTGCCATTGGCCTGGTGAATTTTCCCTGGTAAATCCTTGGCAACTAGTGAAACAAGAGTTTGGGGAAAATAAGCGTCGAGGAATTTGAAAGCCAACTTTGCACTATATAGATGATTCTATATATGTTCGGTCGCTAAGTAAGCATTATGTCTCGACATTAGCTCAGCACAGGTGGCACTACTAGGATATTCTGTTTTACCAGTCGAGATATAACTAAACCACTTCAGAAATACCCTTCAACCGCAAACGTTGTGTTAGCATCGTTCAGGACCAATCAAGCACCATGTTTTCCGGCTTAAGTTACAGTCCTTGTTGCGCTTTGGGACCAAAGATATGAGAATAAGCCTATACTTCCACCAATCAACTTTGCTGACAGGTAGCTGTGCTCCTGTTTGACTCAGAAATTGGTCTTATCCATTCACAAGTTAAAAGTTTACAACGTTGTCCAATGGAAAACGTCAGCAGAGTCTAAAGAGCAAATAGTACTCAAATACTGCGGATTCTTCTGCATAATATTCAAGACGTCCCTTTGTCCTAAAAGCGCCAATTGCTTAGATTATCAAGTAGGTGAACCCGCGATGCGACTGGTTTTCCACAACGGCAGTTTTAGGTTCAGTTTGAATTTCTAGAATTATCACCCATGCATTTGCTTGCGGCAGTTATGTTTGCTGTCTTTTGGCTGCCCATTCGGATGAATACTGAGAGAAAGAAAAGGAAGTTGAAAGTAGAGTCGAAGATAGAATGGATAATTTCAGTGGATTAAGGTTGCAAAGAAATTGAAAATGCTCGAAAGTCATTGTTTACGACACTCGGTGTCTTTAACAACCAACCAGTTACCAAGATCACAAGTTCCCCATCCAAGAAGCCTACCGAACTTATGTGACCCAGTCTCCTGGTTAGGGTTTTCATAAACTCATGCCAGATCTAATGAAGCTTGTCTACTCTCTCTACTACTTCCCTAGTTGGTGTAAGATTGGGGGCTGGTACAGTCCAATCTCGTATCAACATTTAGAAACTCTAAGGTGCAAAACGCATATCGAGAATGGTTTCACTAGCACGACTTTCTTTAATGAACTCGGGCGAAAATTATTTTTAGCTTGGACTTGGTTGCGGCTGTTTGTACAAAGAGTTCGTAGAACTGAAATCAACCTCCCGGGAAAACCCTTTCATGTGAGGTAATGCCAGGGTTTAGAGCGATCGACTGAGTCGAAGGCCGCCTTCAGATCGAGGAAGACAGAGATGGTGGGTCTACAACGGCAGGCGCTAACCGATCCTATTCTATACATGATAAGATTTGTGTACAAAAATAGGCGAAAGATGTATGACTCCGCTCTTTGCGGGTGCATCGCTGACTTTGAACACTGACTCTTCGCGTTTGGTGAGCGGAATCCCTGGCTTGAGCTAACAGGTTCGTGTGTTCTCCTTTTATATCAGCTCTGTATTCATTTGTTTCAATCTCTTTTGGCTGTATAGTGACTGATTCGCATTGTTGAGGTAAGTTGTTCTCTGGCTTGCTTAATAAAATAAACAGAATTTTGTTGAAAAAATACTTGAGGACTTCTCACACTCCTAGCACGTGAAATTGTTGACTGTTTATTCCTTTGAACGTTAGGATATCTTCCTTCTGTATACTTCTCGGCAGAACGAATTTGCAAAGAAACGCCAGCCCCCCCCCTTCGTTGGGACCAGATAAGGACAACAATAAAGTTATCAGAAAATCGCATTCACACATACAAAGTGAAACTGTTTTCTTTTACTTTAGTTCTCCTTGAATTAGATGAACAGACTAGTCTGATCTTTCTTACCTCACCAGGTTGCAGAGTGCCTGAGCTGGGCATCACAGTCAAGAAGGCTCCGCATTCTTTTTCTGGAGTCCCATGCTGTTCGCCCCACAAACTCGTCGGATCAGTGCAGACCGAATCGATCGGAACGAACTCGTATGCGGTCGGTCCGACCGGTGCGAACGGACCCTTCGAGCCGATACGTGGTTGGACATGCGTGTACGGATTGGAGGACACATGAATGTTCTCTACGGTAAATATAACACTGGAGGATTCATCCAGCGGAGTAGGTGGAAGTTGGATTTTGTAGGCGGATAACCGCAGTGGAGTGAATACCCCCACTCCGTGGCAGAATACACAAAACGATCTGAAATGCAACGGAATTTTTTCACAAGAGAACAGCTCAGCAAACGCCGGCGTATTTTTTTTAGAAAAAACACCTATCTGTGACTAAATGGAATGATTCAAACGATAAGTACTGAACTATTACAAGGATTGTTTACATTTTTGTTCAGTATGTGTACAATAAAATGGCTGCGAGACACAATTATATGAAAATCTCAGTGGCTGTGGTAGGATTTCGCACTTTACAGGCTTCATGACCAGCTGGATATGGCGGCACTGTTAAGTGTGTTTCATAGAAGCAAATGTCAATTAAAATACACTCTCACCGTTGGGATTCAGCGTTTCCGAGGCCTTGATTTTTGTCATTTTCACAAAAACTCCTTTATTTTGTCACTTGTTGCTGTTCAGATGATGTACAACGCACACGTTTGTATCAGTTATTATAGAGCAAAATCAATTCTGAAGGTTAGACATGCCCCATTCGGAAACCTACCTTTAGATACTCACTTGATTGAGTAGTTTCGTTGCAACGGTGCCACCAGTTGAGAAATGTGAACAATTTATCCATCTCAAGGTCAGCTGATAGAGCACATTTTTATTTCATTGGAAAAGCACCATGAATCAGAAGTATACGGCAGCTTTGTCAAAGCAGCAGAAGAAAATACACACGATGAACACTAAGTATCAGCATCTTCCAAACCAAAAGGATTGAATTCCGTTGGTTTTCTTACTCACGTGGCACGTGTAATCGGCTAACTTCAATATTAGAATAGACAAGCTCATTGGATTACTTTGATCGCCATTATTGGAGTATCGCGATAAGGTGATTGTGAATGAGGCATCTCCAGTATCACTTGCTCCATCTCTATTCCTTGAATAATCAACTATTATATATGGAGCAAAAGGTTGGCGCAGGTGACTTTTAAGGGTAAGCCAAATCCGTAAACCCCACGGTGGACGTTTGCTTCTATGTCACAAAGAGTTTTGTCTACCCGGGAAAACCCTGACACGACCTCGTAGATTGCTACTGCTCATCCTTGGTCACTCATTCAATACCGTAACTACCATCTATTCACGAGCTAGCCGCCTATCCTTGACCAGGGGATGCGCTTAATAACAAACATGGTTGTTGACTGTAGAATGACCATGATGACCTACGATACGTTGTCATATATGTGGTTAAAATTGAAAGTAGAATGCATGTTTATTTGACAACAAACAATTAAGAAAATCACACAACCGAGTGGTGAACAAGTTCGTTTTCAGTTATTCGTAATAATACCAATATATTACTGCTTCGCAATACGGGTTCGTGAACATCACTCTGTGTGACTGAACATAGGAACGATAAAATCACTCACCAATCTAATAGTTTCACAGCTGCCTGAAATAAATCATTGTTTGAATGCGGCCGAGGCTTTCCGCCCTGTGTATAGGGTTTGTTGGTGATTATCAAGAGGGATTAGCTATCGCATACCAGCCACGGCAGTAGCGTTAGGAATTCGTTCGTAAATACTCTCTCTGTGCTGAAAAAACATTGTTTAATACGTTTCAGCTTACTTAAATCACCTCCTACCCGAAAAAATACGCATGCGTCATTTCCGTAATCAGATGAGTTAACAGACGACTAGGTGATCATTGTGAATCCAACTTTCGGGATCATGAGTAAATCAATCATGGTAAGCTATTGTATTTTTTTCTCTTTTCAAGACAATTTCATTCCCAATTAAAGACAGATATTGTAACTTATTTCCATGAATACGGATAACCGAAAACGAGATTCTTCACTGCTCTTTTTTAAGTTTACAATCTGCTCTGCGGGACTAGTAAGACAGTTAGGATAATCATAACGGACAACACGACAAAACGTATCCATAGTCATTTCGCTGCATCTGTACACGTGCATACTTGTTTTCATCTCACAGTAATTATCTCACTGGCTATCAAAATCTCTTTGATAGCAGTATGCACGAGGAGAGATGCAGCGAAATGACAATGGATACATTGTGTCGCGTTCTCTGTTGTGACTAGCGGTCTTGTCCCGGTCTCAGTTATTACCTTACTGACTATAAAAGTTAGGTAATGCCATAAACCATATTACCTAATCTTTTACCAGAAGAAAATAGGATGTGACTGAGATATCCTAACAGACGTGGTATCTGCACTTTGATGTGATTTATCAAAGTAATACTCGAAAAACATATGAACAAACTGAGAATAATACAATCAGATAATCAAAACATCCATGTGAGCCCACAGATCTATTGATGAGTGAATTTTATTTCCAGTTTTCATCGAACTACTCTGTGAGGCGTGCATTATTTTGTGATCAAACAGCATTTGAACTCAGTCTTTACGTTCAATAAGCAGTTCATCCAGTCCATCATACTCCGGATTCGCCAGAATCAAATCTTGCTGCGTCAGAGTCCATTAGGAGTGCATGTGCACTGTTCCGTCCGGGATTTCAACTACGGATCCGTTAACTCTAACCAAAACATTCCACCAGATCAGACCTTCCCTATTGGTTTTTTCGTCGTCTCCAAATGAGCCTACTTCGCTTCCAACTGACAATTTATCAAGTGTATTTGTAGGTACGGTGATAAAATAGCAGTTCTAATTGGAGTCCTATCTTTTCATTGGAGTTAACAGATGGTCAATTATATCTCCTTCGTTGCTGTCCGGCCAAATTTCGCTGGCTGACCACATCTCAAATTGTCGCCTGACCAAGCATTAATCAGTAATGTTGTTCATCCCCGGCATGAGCTGGTTGTCACAGCGGTAACATACACGCCTTCCGTGCAATGGGTTCGAAGTTCAAAGCCCGGCCAGGAAAGGTAGATATGCACTACTGATGAGCTCTAATATAAGTAAAACTTGAATATAGTGCTTTCGAGTGTATGGTTGACTAGAAGAGCCGAGGAATGTGCGTGAAGGTGAAGTCTGAAAGATGGCCAATTCCAATCAATGAATCTGTTTCAACTTGGTCACCGCTGCATCCGGATAAACCGTTCAACAGGTTAACCAAACGAGGCTGAGATGTTTAAAAGCTTTTCAGTGAGACATGTATCTGCTTCTTCTCTGTTTGTACTCAGTTATACACAGTTTAGTGGTGCACTGTCGGATAAAAAGACCAAATATTCACAAAGAGGTGTTTCCTCTGACAATCAAGTTATTTGGGATTAGTGACTATCTTCAAGGTGAGGGTGGAAAGAAAAGGTGGCAATTTGAAATTTGAATAAAGATTGTAACTTCGAACGTGGGATCCCTAGTCCGGAAACTCGAAATACGGAGTCCAGTGGAACGGCAACTGGATGACCATTTTCTCCGATCTGGCTACCAACGGTAGCACATGAAAAGCATTCATCCGTGATATCCGGGACGCCAACTCATTCTCCGTTCCAAGAGATTGTCGTTTAAAAGTTGCGAGAAAACTGAATGCAACTAAATGCGTGGAATAGGTTTCATCCAATGTGATTGATGGTTTCCAGACGTCATCGTCAAGCACATTATTCGAATATATGATTAACTGGAGGCGCACAGGATTTCGCTTGAGGAAGATGAACTATAGTGTGCTTTTGTTTTCGGAGTCACGTACCGACCCATGCTGACAGCTGGAAATAGTCCGCTCATAGATTCCTGGTTAGAGCAGCCTCTTTTTCTCGAAGTTGAACTGCTCCTTGGATTCCATCATTGGTTTGTTTGGTGCTGAGACTTCATTTTACGCAAGCTCCTATTGCGTGTGTTTATCAATGCACACAGTGCATCAGATCATTCAGTCGTGTTTTACCTTGTCGTTTCTTCCCATTGTTGTCCGTGTTCTCCCGGATCCCATGGGTGTTTCATTTTCGTGCACTTGTTTGGATACATGTGATCTCATACCCTCTCACTGCTTACCTAGACCCGATGCATCACTTAAGCACCTCCTCACTCTTCCAGAACATAAAGCAACGCTTCCACTTTGTACTTGCGTGATTTAAATAGTGCTACAGTCCACTTTTAAATGCATTCGTCGTCGTTGTTGGGGTTTCAATTTCTCATTTGGACAGCGTATCACAACGTTTGGATACTGTCCTAGTGGCGCACATTTGACTTGACGTTGATCCATCCACAGACCAAAGTTGAGAATTTATAGAGTTTGATAAGGCACAGCTTACGGTTGAGCTCCAATTACAGTCATTCGGACGGACGGTAATTCACAATGAACAATTGGTTCTGCACAAAATATTGGATTTCTAAATCCCATTTTCTGTACGCATCAACCACATAAGTGGTAGCATTTAGACTGATAATATGTGAACTGATAGATAAAGAACTCACCGTCCAATGCCTGATTTACATGTCAGTTTGAAATCATAATCCTTTGCTTTGGTCGGTGAGAAGAGCAATTCGAGCTCCAACGTCTCATTTGGTAGAATAGTTCCAAATCCGTCATTTGGTTGAATTTCCACATACTATGAAGGAGAAGATGAAGAAACAAATGAGGACACAGAGTGAAACTTCAGAACGGGATCCAAAAAGGACGAATGGTGTTTGCTGGGATCGGGATTTAACTTCAGTTTTGCTTTGTGGCCCAAGCTCTATATGCACAGAGTGAATGAAAAAAACGCTAAATAGTCCCCCGTTGTTCATTGATTTCGAAGGCCACAGAGACATAAAGAATAATTTAGGTCGTAACGTCCAAAAGCGTCTAAGCGTAGGCTCGAAAACATAAGCAGGTAGTTTTTAACTTCGGCCCAGTTACATTCGTTGCAGCATTGTCCCCCATGCTTGTCATGAACATAATAATATCCTTCCATTTAAGCCGAAATTTGCCTTAATGAAAAACACTGGTGGTGGATTAGGTCACTATTTTCCCATAGTATAAAACGAATGGAGAATGGTCTCTTCTAATCTGTGACAGTGGCTAGGATAAACAATTCTCTTTGAGATTGAAGAATAACCCTAATCGCCACCAATATTTTTTTGCTTGGGAGCAGTGTTACTTTGCCGATGGATTACGTGTCGCGGATTTAGTTTTGACCAAAGCAGTTGGCGAAAGATTTTATCTCGGGTCTAGTTCTCTGAGAGAGGTCAAAATGCTACACAATTGGACTGCACCTAATTGAAGTCAAAGCTGCAAACAGATGGCTGCACTATTTCAAAGATTTTCACAATGGTTGCGATGACATGGTGGGCAGAGAAGTAGCTGTTACTAAAATGAAGAATAAATATCGGTTTGGTGGTCTATAGTTCCCAAATGAGGCCAGACGGGGAGCTGGATTTTGTACATTCACGATGATGACCTATACGTATCTAGTAATTTAAGGGAAGCCAAGTCAGGTGAGCGCTTTTTTAAATCCAAAATTTCTCAATTTATTTCAGATAAAAGGTTACCACTTTCGATATATTTACTTTTCATCACAGAAATAAAGACAGATAGATAGATAGATAGCTAAAGATTAGAATACTGAGATTAGCCAGAATAAAAATCCCTAAAATTTAATAATGATTTACTAGAAAGAATGAATATCCGTGTTACTCCTTACCAAATATGTACTAGTTTTGAATTGCAACGTTTAAACTGATACAAATTTTATCGAGAAACCCAAGGTCACATCAACTCTAAAAGTCATACATTAGAATTGAAAACCATGCAATGAGAGAAAGAAATGCTCTTTTTCATGATATATATATATTCTATGAAAAATTCATGTAACCCCCTTTAAAAGCGACACATCGTTTAAAGTGCAGCGGGATCGTAGGCAAAATGTGACCCGGTATAATAGTAACCTTACCACCCTATTCGCTCATAAGAGGCAATCAGGATAGAGTGCTTTAGCAAAGACCTCCCAGACGCAATGACCATAGAACAGAATGGGCCTTGAAAGAAAGTCGGGCGGTGGTGATTGAGTGATTTGAGTCCTCCAAATAGCAATCTAGAGATCCCCAGTTTGAAACCTTCGTCTATCACCTATCTTGTCCATTGCTACAATTCCCCAGGTAGCTATGTTATAGTCGCTGAACCCTTACGGGATGTTGATTGTACATTTGATACTCAGGAGATATAAAAAGAAGTAACAAACTATTTATTTACAGAAAGAACACATTTCTGATTTTGCATTCTTGGATGAGAAGGTTTGTACTATGTTATTCATCCCTGACCCTCGTCCCTAAATAAACATTGTCTTGGGATATACGGTCTCCTAGAAATGTGATCTAGCCAAACTTATACTTTTGCATAACATAGACCACAGTTACCTGGGCGTGGACCATGAAACATGTGTAAAAGACGAAAGAGTATAAACTTTGCAGATTTATTGAGATCACAGGAGTCTAAGTTGCCTACCTTGCAATTAGGTATTGGAATATGGGACATCGCACCACGCGCGCATTAAGTATCTTAATTTTTCAATACGAGCGGTTAGCGTTATACTGATTTATTCAAAAATATATGTCAATGTTACTAACGCCCAGGGAGCAGGTAGTCTTGCAAAGGTGATTTCAAGTGTCCCAGATGCTTGTTTAGAGATCACAAATCTAACTGGTTCAATTCAATGATTGCGGTCGGTAATGCATTCAGACAATCCAGCTTCCATTAGCACCATGCCTCGTCGATTCAACAAATATAGATTTCTATCAAGCAGACGTATTCCTATTCCTCTGTTAACCGAACCACATCGAAGGTCGGTTTTTGAAGGGTCAATGAAATGTGGGTGACTACAGGAAGGGATGAACAATGAAAATCAATCATCAGGATCGAAGTAATAGTGTTTTTTTATTCTAGTATAATCGTCGAAAGGCCTGTTTGTGTCTATATCTCTGAAAATTTTAAAAATGCTACAATGACAGCAACAATGCAGCCTGTTGATACTGCTTCCAGCATTCTCATTCATCTAAATGGACAGCTTCAAACTGTAACCGAAATCGCCGCCCGAAAGTGCAAGCTTAATGAATGGACAAACTGAACCTTAATCGATTCAGTACAATGTACGTTCAGTGCACGTCCGTAGAGCCCCCTCTCATGAGAACATCAAAGTTAACTGAAAATTTATCAATGACCATAGTCACTTGAAACTGTCAATCTGACATATTTTATCACTGTTCAGCACAACTACCAAGACAAATTTTGCCAGGAATAAAATGTGATTACACACTATTCACTTGTCTTACGCCAGCCGCATACATATATCAATAACACTGCGGCATGCACGCACACACACACACTATCACTCAAACTATGATCAATATGATTCAATCCTGCTAGGTTAGAAAGCCATTTTACTGCTCTCACGAACACTTGGCACGAAGGTATAAACAGATAGTTCAGTTTTGTATTTGCATGTGCGCTGAAGCACATCAATCCAATCCTTGTAACAAGAATAACCGTGAACAGGCTGAACTTCCTCTTGCAGTAAAAAGTTGAATCCGCTGAACGAAATAAGGAGTGGTGCGATCTATCTTCTGCTTGCAGAGAAACGTGAAGTCAATAGGACACAGATAAACAGGATTATTCATACGAAAAGTGGATTATTTTAAGATGCAATAGATTTTTTCTCCAAAATGGTTAGAGGTTTGACTGGAAGCAGTGTAATCTCATCAATGGATAACTTTATATGAGGTTGTTTTCAGGTAGTACATTGTCATACCTCATTTCCACCCATCCAGAAAAAGCTAAATACCGTTCAGCGGAACCTCATCAAACCGATATCAAAGCTTTCACCAGATAGTTGAGCCGTTTCAAATACCCTGAGGAGGCAGCTGTTGCAAATGTACACCATTTCTGATTTAAAACATCAATTAGGTGTCAGCGATTATGAAGCTAAATTACCAAGAAGTCTGTAGAAAAGTTAAAATCTCGAAAATCTTAAACTTAACGTGCAAACTCGCTAACTCTGCAAACTAATTTGGCTGGAATGGAGGATAGTGAAACAAGTGAAATTACATTGTGCTTAGCTTGAGGTCAAACCACTGGAGGCGATGTAGCTTGAATATTCTGTTTAGATGACAACTATCTATCCGTGGGGAATAATTGTGACAACTTTCGTCATTCTTTTTCAGTTGAAATTCAAAACGTTTAAATTCCTAAGTCATGGAATGACGCAGATTTTTTTCATTCTCCTCATATTAATTTGATGTACAGTTATTATTGAACACTTACAAAAATTGATACAAAGAGGCAGCTATTGACCGGAATAAGGTATCGTTGCGCCAGCAAAACGGATGTGATGACAAACAGTGTCAAAATAGGTTCCAATTTTATTAAACCTCT